TAGTTTGCATTAGCCTTGGATTTTAGGATGTGGCCTAAAAATGTGCCCCCAAGGTGTTTGACGAATTGCCCCAATGAGTGCATTTTTGTTCATGGTGTTCATGATTGGATGCAGCAACGACTGTTTTCAGCTTAGCTAGATGCTCGGGGAATTGCCTTCCCACATGGGTACAGCTTGCCAGGCTCAAGAAATGGGCCTTTGTTTAGTATAGTGGTGGTGGGGATGCAAGAGAGGGGATGGGAGGACGGGTTTACCCGGATGGGATTAATAAATGGGAGGCAATTTGGGAATGGAGTTTGGAGTTCTCCAAAGAAATGGGTTCTATGGGAGGAGGAAGATATGTCAAAGGGACCAAACACTTTGCCACCGAGAAGCATCAGACAGTCTAGTTGAATAGCAAGTACACTGCCTTGTCGAGTTTGGTTCCAAACACAAAGAGGGTTTACCGTATATACTAAAACTTGTGTAGAAGAAGAAGATCAATCTATTGTTGATTGTGTCCAAGCTTCTTGATGAAAGGTCTTTTTTGTATGCAAGTGCTATAGCCCAAAAGCTCATTGAGGTTCTGGAAAAACAACATGCAGTACCGTTTGTAGGGATGCATGAGTTGTTCCTTTGGATATATATGGTAGTATATACCAAGTCTTTATAATAGATACTATCTTTTATGTTGTTCTTACTATATGATGCTGAATTTGAAAAGTAGACGATAAACTTGGTGTGACAGACGCATGAAGGGGAGTATATAGAACTTATATACTTCTAGATTGGCATGGCTTTAATTAGTTATATTAATTACTATAGAGTGAGCACTATTATAATTAGCAGCTATATATACGTGCCCAAATTTAATTAGCTATACAATAACCACGCATTTTATATTGGAAATCATTTCAAATGTTTGAGCACTATTAATTCTCAGCATGATTGTCTTTACATATATATTTATAATATACTTGGTAATTGGTATTATTTCATTCAAGTTATATTAATGAATAACATTTATGTATAAAACTTGCTGGAACAAAATCATGTGGATTTTTCATGTTTTTTAAGAATGGTGCTGGAATACAAGAAGTAGCAGCAATGCAACTGAACTGGAAGCAGCTTTCAGAAAAGGTTCCATCCTGCACCCAAACCAGCGAATCATACTTAAAAAGAAGAAGAGGTTGATACTAGCTTAAAGGTAGAAAAGTCACCGGTCTGGACTATGTTTCATAATATTTTATTAAGTTTAATTAGTATGTATTATGATTCATTTGACTTTGCAAATCATTAAGAGGATTTGAATAGACTGATGTGGTTTTAAATTGATGTCATATTCAGGTTAATATCAAAATTTGTTGGGAGAATGGATGAGAATGCACGTGTGTGGGACCTAACTGATAGTAGCGATGCAGATGGTGATGGTGTGGATCCTGACATTTGTGTTATACCCAAACTCAATACTGAGTCCATACCAGAAGTTGGGAAAGAGTTCGATTCACTTCAAGATGTTTATAATTTCTATAATAATTATGCAGAGAAGGCAGGATTCAGCATACGCAGTCATTCAAGCAAAAAGGATAGACTCACGGGGGAGATAAAAAGGAAAGAATATGTATGTTCTAAACAAGGTACGTATTGTAGACCCGAAGCGGAAGGCAGGGTAAGGAAAAGACGAAGAGTCAAAGTACGACAAGATTGCAAGGCTAGGATTGGGGTTGTGAAGTGTCCTGAGTCTAACAAGTACTCTATTTCATTGTTTGAAGAGGTACACAACCATTCATTGACAACCCCAGATAAGGTGCATTTGTTGAGATCTCACCGTGATGTTAGAGAATCAAGAAAAGCACTCAAAATTGACCGACTTGGTGTAGTTAATATACCTACTCATCCACCAGTAAGTAATCTTGAGGTACAAGCAGGAGGAATGGAAAACATTGGGTGTATAAATAAAGATTTCTACGATTGGGAAATGAACATGCGCACGCAACTGCTGGAGCATGATGTAGAGCTGCTGAGTGAGCATTTTGGGGCTGAGAAAAGAAAGAATGAGTCTTTTTATTTCAAGATGGAGGCAGATTCTAGTGGAAGGCTGACTAATTTGTTTTGGGCAGATTCAACATCTAGACGAGCTTATAAATTCTATGGAGATGTGATTGTGTTTAATACAACATATAGCACGAATCGTTACGGATTGGTATTTTCGCCGTTAATAGGGGTGAGTAATCATGGGCAGACTATTATCCTTGCATGTGCTTTCTTAAGTAAAGAAACCACCGAATCTTTTGTGTGGTTATTTGATCAATTTAAGAATGCCATGCCCGGTCCACCACCCAAAATGATCATTACGGATTATGATGCAGCCATGACAAAGGCGATTGTGCAAGCTCTCCCAACTACATACCATAGATTATGCGTATGGCATATTTTGAACAAATTTTCTGAAAAGGTAAATCCCCCAACACTCAGAGACAGATTCTCAAATTTAAATGCTTGCATATGGGAGATAGACACAACAATAGAATTTGAATCAAAATGGCTTACCTTGATTACAGAAAATGGATTAAATGATCATCCTTGGTTGAGTTCAATATATGATTTGCGTGATAAGTGGGTTCCAGCCTATGTGAAACATGTTTTCTCTGCTGGAATGTCGAGTAGTAAGCAACCTGAAAGCTCACATGCTTTCTTCAAGCCATATGTTTCACGAAAGAATTCGTTGATGGATTTCGTAGTACGATTTGAACGAGGCCTTGCTAAGCAGCGGCATGAGGAGTTATATGCTGATCATGTTGACCGTAATGAAAAACCTGCAAGCCTTTTGGAGACGTCAATGGAAACCCAGGTGGCAGGCTTGTATACAAAGGCGCTGTATCAAAAGTTTCAGATTGAAGAATTGAAGAGCCTTAAATGTTTTCTTCAATGTACAACGTCGGATGATAGACAAAGGGTTTATAAAGTAACTGAGAGGATAAAACCTGGGGTTTCTAAAGTCAAAGAAGTTGTGTATGATGTATCCGCTGATCTAGCTTCTTGCAGTTGCAAACACTTGGAATTTTGTGGAATTCCATGCAGGCATGTATTGGCTTTTCTAAAACATGAGCAAGTCGAATATTTGCCAGATAAGTATTTATTAAAAAGGTGGATGCAACGAGCGAAGTCTGCATTGGTGTTTGATTGCGATGCCATTAAAATTAAAGATCACGTTGACAGGTGTGTTTTAATGAGGAGATCTACATTGTCTAAACTAGCCATTACTCTAATTGATTCTGCATCAATGTCCGAGGAAGCTGGGAAGTTACTGTTAGAAACTTTACAGGGTGTGCAGGAAAAAATAGAGTCTATGGGGCAGGCAATTGGGCATGCACAAGGAAGTGGTAAAGCCGTGGCGAGCGATTCTCAAACAGTTACTTTAATGGATCCACTTCGAGTGAGAGTGAAAGGCAAAGAGAAGGCAATGGGCAAATTGAAACGATGGTGTACTGAGTGTAGGTCGGTTGATCATGATAGACGCAATTGTCCTACATTGATTAACTAGTCCGAAATGCAAATTAATATTTTTTATCAATCTTCCACATGAGTGCTTTCATAGTAAGTTCTCATTCTGTGTTGTAATGATGCAGTTCTTTCCCTGGAAACAATGACGACACAACTCAGAGCATGCCGAACACACAATCTAGTCCGATCCTGTCCTTGATGGATGAATTTGACATTTATGCAACTGCCAGCTCTCATCCCGTTTTGTAGTTGGCTGATTGTGTCAATAAATTTGATGTATTGTCCATGTATGTTTTTCATCATTGAACTGGTTTTCTTTGTTTAGGGTTGCAGGTTTTGTAGTATTGTTCGTGTGTGTATCCGAACTGATTGACCATTGTTCTTGTAACCTGTGTAAGGAAATTGCATTATGGATACCAGATTTTCTTCCTCTCATGACAACATTCCACTTACAGATTCATTCATATTCTACCATCATGACAGCGAAAGATGATCACAAATCTTTCAGAAAACATCCCAAACAGATTCACAAACCACTTATAAGATGTTTCACAAGTATGTGCCTATAAGATTCCAGCAGAGAAAACATCCCAAATGATCATCCTTCTTTTGTTAATACAAAAGTTTATTATTTTTATTTTTTCAATTGCAAAACATGGGTGCTCTCCTTTAACAAGGAAGCAACTTTTGTTAATACAAAAGTTTATTATTTTTATTTTTTCAATTGCAAAACATGGGTGCTCTCCTTTAACAAGGAAGCAATTTGCTATGTCATGGGCCGAGTAGTTTGTGGCATTACAACTTAAAAGTGCGACCCCTAAGAGCATTTCCACCACACCCCCTTAGTCCGGGCAAGAGGGGGCCTAGGACCCCTAAGAGCATTTCCACCACACCCCCTTAGTCCGGGCAAGAGGGGGCCTAGGCCCGTGAAGTCGTTTTCAGCAGTACAAAACAGCCCAGGCAAGGCGGGGCTCCACCAAGCCCTGGCAGGCCCGAAGACAAGAACATCCCGAGTTGTTGTCTAAGGACTGTGACGTCGGTGATGGCATCAGCAAATAAAAAAAAATCTGAAAAAATACCAACATTTTCATAATTTTTATTTATTTATAAATATCTAGCCATATTCTTCACTTCCCACACTAAAACTCTATAAAAATTATTCTCCTCATATCTCATGTGAATAGTGGTTGCCATGGCAATAGGTGGAAAACCAACAAAAAATTTACTAGGGCAGGCACTATTCATGTGAATAGTAACAACATTTGCCTCCGTTTGCCTTTTGTCATGGCAAATGAGTGAAAATGCTGTAACACTATGATATGGATTGAAGGAAAATACTTGGAATAACAATATGAAATTTGGGCTTATGAAGCAACCCTTGACCTCTTTAAGTGGGGTTTTTGGAACTCAAAGTTATCTGGTTAATAACTACATTCAGTTGTACAACTTTATATATGTGTATCCTACGGAAGAGCAAAAGCTCTACAGCCAGCCACTACCAACAATACTAACTACAAAATAAGAACAACTATATCCTATAAAACCCACTACTTGTCCCATCTTAAAACACCAAGCAGAGTCCTAAACTACAACAGGAAATATAATATTACGTAACACGCTACTGCAAAGCAAAGGGAATGGCGTCGTCTTCTTCGGCTCTCTCAAGACTCTCTAATCTCCGCGGACACTTACATCCCTCGCACTCAAATAAGGTACCTAACACTCCAATCATACCTTCCCCTCTTTTTCTTTCGTTTAATCATTTGGTTTCCTTTTTCTTTTTGACATTGTCTACCAAATTTCACATTTTTAGAATTTTTATTTTCCATTTTCTTTTTTAAGGGTGGTGTGGGGTTTATCAAGATTTCTCCAGAGGTTTCTGAAGCTTTGTCAAATGGCCATGCTGTTGTTGCTCTTGAATCCACCATTATTTCCCATGGTAATTCTCTCTCTCTCTCTCTCTCTCTCTCTCTCTCTCTCTCTCTCTCTCTCTCTCTCTCTCTCTCTCTCTCTCTCTCTCTCTCTCTCTCTCTCTCTCTCTCTCTCTCTCTCTCTCTCTCTCTCTCTCTCTCTCTCTCTCTCTCTCTCTCTCTCTCTCTCTCTCTCTCTCTCTCTCTCTCTCTCTCTCTCTCTCTCTCTCTCTCTCTCTCTCTCTCTCTCTCTCTCTCTCTCTCTCTCTCTCTCTCTCTCTCTCTCTCTCTCTCTCTCTCTCTCTCTCTCTCTCTCTCTCTCTCTCTCTCTCTCTCTCTCTCTCTCTCTCTCTCTCTCTCTCTCTCTCTCTCTCTCTCTCTCTCTCTCTCTCTCTCTCTCTCTCTCTCTCTCTCTCTCTCTCTCTCTCTCTCTCTCTCTCTCTCTCTCTCTCTCTCTCTCTCTCTCTCTCTCTCTCTCTCTCTCTCTCTCTCTCTCTCTCTCTCTCTCTCTCTCTCTCTCTCTCTCTCTCTCTCTCTCTCTCTCTCTCTCTCTCTCTCTCATTATGTAATTTGTTGTATTTTCAGTTGTTTTCCTTTTCCTTTTCTCCCATGATTTTCCCTTTTGAGTTAATTGAATGAAACCCAATTTGGATTTTGTATGCTATCATAATTCATTTGATTTTGATACATTATACATAGCGCTTTGACACAATGGTTTGAGTTACTTCGAATGACATGGTTGCGGGTTTGATTCGTGGAAAGAGGAGTATGGCTCCGTACTGATAGCTGATTATGTGTGAATAGGTTCATGGACAGTGCTTATGTGTATGTGAGGAACTGCACTTTTTGACTTTCTTGCTGAATTTTGTTTTTCCTTATGTTCAGGGATGCCCTATCCTAAGAACTTGGAAACCGCAAGGCAAGTTGAGGCAGTTGTGAGGGAAAATGGAGCTGTTCCTGCCACGATTGCTATTTTGGATGGCATACCTTGTGTAGGTGTTTATATTTAACTTTGTTCTTCTGTTTTCTTGATGAATATTTACGCTTAGAGGTAGCTTTTGTTAAATTCTAATATATGTCTTCTTATGATTGTGCTATGATTTGCCCCACTGGTTACAAAGCGAAATTTGTCCCACCGAATTACAAACTAGTGGGATAAAATTACTTAGCGATTTCAGAAAATACTATACAGTATTCTTATGGAATGGTATCATTTGCTAAGAGAATTTTTGTCACAAATTAAATTATTACTCTGGAGGGTGCTTGATGACATGATTCTTTTCTTTTTGTTTTTCCTTTTTGTTGCCTAATTATTTCTTTGTGTAGGTCTGAGTATGGAAGAACTGGAGAAGCTTGCCAATCTCGGACCCAGAGCTCAGAAGACAGCTCGAAGAGACATCGCACATGTTGTGAGTAACTGATGCTTTGCACTTATTCTATCTGATATCCAATATGATCAATGGAACATGCTGAACTCTTAGTTTTATATTCTGTGTTGTGCTGCTAGCCATATATGGTGATAGCAGAAGACGTGCCAAGAAGTTGACAAGTTTAGACCCACATAATTTTTGAAAGCCAAGGATTAAAATATCGGCCATGCAAATAATATCGGGCCTCCAATTTACGGATATTTCGGGGGATATATCGTTATCGTTTTAGGTATCAGAAAAAAATCAACAAAAATGACAGATATAGGCATTGAAACACATAATTTTAGTGTAAAACTTTCATAGATGTTATGTACATTATCAATGAATGTATTGAACAAATAAAACTCAAAATTTACTAATAATAAGATAATACATATGATGAAATATAAGTGGTATGTAATGCGCATTAATGAAAACTTTGAAAATAAAATGTTGATTAGAATGGATAAACCATGCATAAATCCATAGTTTGTTTAAACATTGGATTACAATTTAGATAAGTGTCCATCTACATAAATGAAGAGCTTCTATGAGGTTCAAACAATGAGGAACAACCATATAGATTCATACAATAGTCATAACAAGTCATGTAACCCGAGCAGTTTGTAAGCCATGTTTGAACATAGTGCACATAGGTCTCTCTTGTGCTCCCTACTGTCCTCCCATGTATGGGATAGTTAGGATTAACCCAACTAGTAGATCCATAATCTGTTTCATCATCTTGAGCTCCATAACTAGTTCCACTATAATTAGACATGACATAACTATAGCCATCATAAGATTCATTTGAGTTAGTACTAGATCTAGTTCTTATGCTCATAGATCCAAAACTGATCGCCATGTCCTCTTCAGATGGATTGGAGGTATGTGGGCAGTGGACTGTGCATTGATTCTTCATATTAATAATTTATAGGGTTCTGAGCAAGGATTAGCTATTTTTAGGTTTCAATTTGCTTCAATTGCCTTCAAAACTTCCGAATTTTTTTTGGGTTCTGTTATGGGTATCGGGAAATATCAGGGATATCGGCAAAATATCGGGGATATCGCACTTATCGAGGATATATCGTCGATATAGGGGAAGATATGGCCTTACCCCCCAGTATCAGTGTTGACAGTTGAAAATACCGACATATTGGCCGATATATCGGTGTATCGGCTGATATTTCAATCCTTGGTGAAAGCACACCTCAATACTTGTACCACCATAAAATGATTATTTTGTTGGCTTCAATCAGTGGCATTGAACTTACATGTTCAAAATCATCTGCTACCTATACTTCTGTTTTTATTAGCATGCTGGTTTCTACATAAAATAACCTTCATAGCCACATAGTTATGAGGTTCCCTACTCTGTTATGATGTATGCTCAAGAAATTTCTGACAAATGGAATTCCTGAATCGTCGCTATAATTTCTCCACGGTCATTTCTGATGCTAAATTTACAAGATGACGAGCTGACTCTTGTTTAGGTGGCAACCAGAGGGAATGGAGCAACTACTGTTTCTGCAACCATGTTTTTTGCTTCTATGGTAACCAATCTATGATCAGCTTTCCCGGAGGACTTATTTTCGTGTTTACTTTATACAAAGATAAAGAAAGCTATTTCTGTCATTATATTAATGAATGTTTTTCTAATACTTAATACTGCATATTCTTGCAGGTTGGCATACCATTGTTTGTTACTGGAGGGATTGGAGGAGTACATAGACATGGCGAGCATAGTGAGTTCAATGCTACATATATATTGGTGTTATTTATTACAAACAGTCCATAAAAGAAACCGACTTTGTTCATGTCTCCACCCATGCTTTTGGATATCAAAAGTCAAAGAGTCATGACTTCATATGGCCATATTCCTAATATCTTCATTGTTGATGTTTCTCCTAATCCAAGCCAATTCATATGGCTTCTGTGTTACTTGAGTCTATGGCTCACCAAATGGTCTATATTGGAGTACAGATAAGCAACATAGTAGACAAAGGACTCTAATGTAGGACAGATTAGGAACCCTTCTATGTCGGCTTGTATCCTTGGCCTTCTTTTGGAGTAGATTAGGTTCTAGATATTATGTAGATGGCAGAACAGGTTTAGGGTTTTTTATATCACATTCTGGCTGGGGAATTTAATAGGCAAACAGGGGATGACTTTCTAGAAATCCGGATGTATGGCTTTTCTAGGAAGCAGCAGATTATGGGTTTTGAGGATTTTTAAAAGTTTACTTGAGGGTTTTGGTATTCAGGTTTAAATTGGGAATAAAAAAAATGGCTGGGAAATTTAGTAGGCAGATAGGTCCTGCTCTCTGGAAATCTAGGTGCAGGGCTGTTCAGGGAAGCAGCTGATATATGGTTTTTCAGGGCTGTTTAAAATGGTTATTTGAGGTTTAGAACTTTTGGTTTAATCGGGTAAGAAAAATATCTACTGATGATGCTGCAAAGAAGTCAGAAAAAGAGGGATTTTGGGACCCCTCTAGGGATGTGAACACTAACTTATGAACTGTTACAAATACATATGCATACGCAGACTCCATTAACACATTCTGCACACTCAAAATAGTGAATATCCCATTGCCCAATGCTAAGTTAAGGACTAGAATCATTAGGGTTTAGGGTTAACTGAGACTGTTCAGAACATAATTTTTGAAACCATATAAGATCCATTGTCATCTGTTGTCACATATTGGCCCTATAGAGATGAAATAATTCTTGGACAACTTAACATGCACAAACATGTTGTAACCATTGCTTTCAAAAAAGTTATCCATTGAATTCTGTGAAAAGAAATAGAAACCAACAGCAGTCTACAGTATCTTTCTTACCAAAATGTATGTGAAACTTTAACTTGTGGATAATTACTGCTCATATATAAAGGCCCCTAGATTTCTATAGCTGGAGATTATCATTGTAAGTCCTTTTGCCCATTGTTGCATAACTTCGTCTGTGGCTCTTATGTGCATGCTGCAACTCAACCAGATAAGACTCGCATGTTTATCTTGCCTCATATGGTTCATATAAAGAAATTGATATTTATTTGAAACTCTACACCTTGGGCCCAAAAAATGTTTGCAGACTTCCGTTCAGATGTTAAAGGAGTGTGTTATGGTGCGATATTAATGTTACAAAATTTTATTTTCCTTTTGCAGCAATGGACATATCCTCTGATCTTACTGAGCTTGGAAGGACACCAGTAGCTGTCATCTCTGCTGGTGTAAAATCAATATTGGATATCCCAAGGACCCTTGAATATTTGGTCTGCACTAAACTATCTCATGTATATGATTGCAAGTAATAGAGCGCAGATTGTCAACTATAAATAACTGTTTTGTTTTTTTTATTGAAAAAAAAAAAAAAAGGAAACTCAGGGAGTTTGTGTTGCTGCTTATAGGACCAATGAATTTCCAGCATTTTTCTCTGAAACAAGTGGTTGCAAGGTATTGATGGTCAACTCTCTTTCAAAATGCTACATTTCTCCATCTAACAACAATAGTTTGATCAATGTTGTTCTATCCTCAATCAAATTCGAGTTTAAAAATGGCGTTTAACCACAATTTTGCCGTACGTGCTTGTGTTTTCCGTTTCCGCTTTTACCATATTTTCTATGGAATAAAACCCATCCACGTGAAGTTGAGTTCACTTGATCATCTTGATGGCTAGAAAATGATCAGCGAAACCTCTTTAGAGGTTAGTAGGAAGAAAAACTGTCCCTGATTGTGCGTCTGGAGCAGACTGAATGTTAGCCTCTCTCTCATTGCGATATGTTGGCCCAACTGCTAGGCTCATGAGCCTTAGCACAATTGGCATGGGAGAGGTGGGGTGGGGATAAAGACCCTAGGTTCAACTGCTATGTTCAGTTCTCAAGTAACTGGTCAACTGAGGATCACCGTTTTCTTTGGTTACAGTGGAGCACCATTTTGTTATTGCTGAACTGGGACAGAATCAAAGAAACACATGTCTCTCTGTTCAGAGAAATGCTAAGTGTGAAATTTAGAAAACTTTATGGTGATAATACATGGAAGGAAAGAAGACTGTGCTCAGCTTATATGCAAATGCAGAAAACTTTATGTTGGACCAATTATGCCCACATGTTTAACATAATTTGTTTCAAATATATATCTGACTGATGGCTTTTGTTCAATCATGACTTGAAAATCTAGGTGCCTTGCCGTGTAGATACCCCAGAAGACTGTGCTCAGCTTATAGGCAAGTTACAAAAGTGAATTCATTTATTTTTCTAGAAGAAATTATATGCAAAATTTAAAGTAATACCCCTGTTGTGAATGTTCTTATTTTATTTTTTGTTTTATAGATGCGAACCTGAAACTTGAGCTTGGAACTGGAATTTTGATTGCCGTTCCAATTCCTAAAGAGCACGCAGCTTCTGGAAGGTTAATTGAGTCTGCAATAAAGAGAGCTCTTGAAGAAGCTAGGTAAACTGATTTTCCTCTCATCAATAATCTACTGTCACCTGTTTCTGTTAATAATATTTTTTACTCATCTTTTTAAATATACTGAAAATGAATTTGCTTTGTCAGGGATAAGAACATAATTGGAAATGCTGCAACTCCATTTTTGCTTGCAAGAGTGAATGAATTAACTGGAGGAGCTTCTCTGGCTTCAAGTATCCTTTATCTATTATTCTTTGCACAATAATATTGATATGTTCATTTTCTGTGTCCTAACATATGGTGGTGACTTTTCCAAGTCTAAGATGTATTGGAGGCTGTCTTGGAAAGCATTTCTTAGGCATTGCAGTATGAAGAATAATGCACTTGTTGATGTTGTTTGATTTATCAACTCAGTTTCTTAACCAACAATTAGACATTGCACTGGTGAAGAACAATGCACTTGTTGGTGCTAAAATTTCCGTAGCACTTGTGCAGATTAAAGAACGTGAAAATAAAGGTGGGCAATTCTTGTTTATTTGCCATTATAATGACAAGAAAAATCATGTGTGTATTATCAAAGAAAAATATTTCTTTAGGTATGTAAGTAATGAATTGATTCATGACGTCACATAATAATTGGGAAGGGAAGCCACCAAGCAGTACTGAGTGGCTGGAGAATGGTTGAAAGGACAACGCATCCTGTTAATGCCTGTCACTGGAGGAATGTTATCATCTGTGGACATTGTCCTATCAGATTTTTGTAGGGAGGTGAAGTTGATGGCAGATTTTTAAAATGCTTTGCATGAGGCTGTGCTGAGGGGCGGATGGAGAGGATGAAGTTGGATGCAGCTTTGCAATCGTAAGCAGTTGCATGTTAACATCTTTCTATGTGGCTGTACTGGAGGGTCCACTTTAGTTTTCCTAGCATTGCAATTTAGAAAGCAAATGCAACACCATAGGTGGAATCTTTTGTATGGACAGCCACCCGAGAGAAGGTTTACCTATTGCGGATATGATTGTTAGAGGAAGGGTTTGCGAGTAGATGAATATGCAAGAAGGTTGAAGAAATGGTGTTTCATTTAGTTAATTCATTGCCTAGTTATTTGGAAATTTGGTGCTATATTTTGAATTTATGGTATTTTTGGTCCAGATAAGGTAAAGACAAGATAACATGGTAGACTGTTTTAAAACAAGAATAATGATTGAATAGAACTAAAAAGAATTGAAGTGAACCTCCTTGTGCATCTTACGGTGTTATGTTTAGGAAGAAACAGTACAGCTTTCCCTTTATGAGGTGGAACATTCCAGCTTGGACATAAAAATTATTCTTTGATTGGTTGAAGAAGGTTCATTCTTTATCGTTTCCTTCTTTTTAGATTTGTCTTTCCTATTTTCTGTTTAAGTTATTGCATCATGTACACTGTTGGCATGGCATCCCCTTGGCAACTTTTTAGATTTGATTGCCAAGGATTGAAGTATATCATCTAATGGAATGCTACCATCACTCTGATTATCATATTGGTGTACTCTTTGAGAGGATGCTTAGTTACTGGTATTCTAAAAACCATCAAATTATGCATGATTTTACTGATACAACTAAGATTCCTTGTAGCGTGCACGATCTTACTTGATTTCACTAGTGCAAGTAAGCTGCCTATTCACTTATGAAAACTGGATTGATTTTCGACAGGTGGTGTGAAGACGACGCTATAGGCCTCAAAATGTTTCAACCCAGATCTGGTAACCAGTCACTTGACAAGCTCAGTAATTTTTGTTTTGTTCATGGTCATTTGAGTTTATAACTTTCAGTACGTGATAAATGCAGTGACGATGAAATGGCCAATGTGTGAGTTTCTCATCCGAAAATGTACATTTAGTTGCTCTCGTCAGAAAATGTACATTAGTTGCCATGATACCCATTTAAGCTATGGTACAAGTATTCTTCGCTGAACACTGCATCTTCCTACCCAAGAAAAATAATTACACTCAAAATTGTGTTGGTTGGATGGTTTATATGCATTTCTGATTTTAATAAAAAAAAAAATTTGTGAACATGCATTTCTGAAATGTCCCTTCATATTTTGTCAAGAAGAAAAAAAAGGGCAATTTGATCCTCTCAATTTCATTGCTCTTTAATTTGTGTACTCATTTTCTTGGCACTTTGTCACTTCCTCGAAGGCAATTTAAAGCATTTTGCCGCTACTATGGGAATCGCTTTACTTTGTGGACAAAATACTCATTAGAGGTCTCTCAAACGTCAGTGTACACTTGTAGGAGATGTAACATGTTAAAATTGAGAGCATTTTTGCTCACCACCAATTAAGGGTGGTAAGCATTACCGCAACGTCAATTTCCGTTTGATAAGTGTGATTTAATCTATTTGTTACACGAATTTTAAAAGTTAAACTCATCCAACCACCATTAGGTTAAACTCATCACAGCCAAGTAAAAATGTTGTCGTTAACATTAATCACAAATTTGAAGGTTTCATTCCTAAATCGCATGTTCTTATTCTCTAATAAACTACAATTTGGCTGATTTCATCATAAATTTCTACACCAGAGGGAATTTGAGAGGTGAATACAAAATTATCTTTCTATGTTCGGCATTATTGAGGCCATTATCATTGAAAATATGTAAATTTACGAAACTTTCATCTTCCTACCGGATAAATGACTATAGGATTCGCAATTTGATAATATGAAATGCAGGATAAACGACAATAGAGCAATATATTAGATGTTTCATAATGAAACTGCCAAACAAAGAATTTTTTAAGGTTAAAAGTCACTTTTGGTCCCTGTAATTTGGCACTTCAACCACTTTTGACCATGTAGTTTCAATTTCGTCAATTTTGATCTTGTAGTTTCGTATTTATAGCAATTCAAGGACAAGTTAGTATTCCTGTCAATTTCTTTGATGATGCAAGGGGCAATTTCGTCAACCCAAAATCCTTGAGCATAAAAGCTCTTCTGAAACTCCCCTAATTTCATATTAGGGCTTGAAATTGGTCATTTGGGTTTAGGGTTCTTCAAAAATTGGGATTAGTGGTTGAATTTCGAGCCCTAAAAGAAATATAAACATTCAGTCTTTTAATTAGTGCAAATATGTGCACAAAGTTATGTATTTCTTGGTTTTATTTCTTTTCTTTTCTTATCATTTTCATGTGCATTGATATTCGGAATAGGCTTAATTGTTTTGTTTCATTTTGCAATATGTTGTATATTATGGTGGACCACATATTATGAAAAATAAAGGAGTATTTAACATGTTTGAAAATGAGATGTCTCTTGTTGGTTGTCTTGTTGTCATTGGTCGAGACATGATCCATATGTTGGCTTCTGAAAAAGATAAGCGCCGGTATTCTCGATATCTTCTAGGTCTTATAGAGAAAACATCAAGGAGATATATGTGGCTTTTGATTATAATATATGTAGCATTAATCATCTATCAATTCTTTTGGGCTACGCATTAAGATGGTAAAAATTGTAGTCGGGCAATTTTCTGGTTGGGTTGATTAGAATCAAGTCCCAACAATTATTCACTTTTTGAGGTATTAAGTCAACAAGCCTTCTTAGAGCATCTCCAAGGGAGATGTCAAATACCAAACATCAAATTTTATTTTGATGGCTGATGTGGCAATTTGACATCTTACACAGCTTTACACTCCACCCGATATGTCAAATTAAATTATTATTTTATTACATTTTAGTGTTGATTTATTTTTAATTAAAAAGAATAGAAAAGAAAAAATAATAAAATATTCATTTGACATCTTGCTTTTGGGATGTCAAAAATAACATCTCAATCTTCAGCCTTCATTCCACATCAGCTTTGACACATCGGTTGGAGTGTGTGAGATGTTATTTCTAGCTGTTAAATTTCTATGTGGCACTTTTGACATATCGGTTGGAGATGCTCTAAGTCCAAAAAAACACATTAAAAAATTTGAAGTATGTTGATTAAGTAGTAATGGTATGAAATTCTTCTCAACATGGGAAGTGTATACTATGAGTTAAGTATTTCATTTTCAATGAAACTCTCTCCTACATGGGAAGTATATACCCATGAGTTAGGTATTGCATTTCCAACCGATTTGCTAAAATGCCAGGTGGAGTTTTAACGGTAAAATTTGACATCGTAAAATGCACCAACAGGAGTTAATGTTGACAAGGATTTGAAGGCTGGCATTTGAACGTTATTGACAGCAACCAAAGTGAGGCGTCATTTCTTATTTTAATAATTTTTTTTACTCGAGGGTTTCATCTCACTATGAAAACAAGAGTTGTTCTCTTTTGTCTTTAATTGAATTTTTTACTCTTTCACATTAATGTGTGGCTCCAATTTCAATAAAATAATAAAATTGACATATTAGTTGGAATAGGATACTGGATGTCAGATGCAACATCAACAGTCAAAATCAAATTTAACATTTTGAATTTTACATTTTCCTTGAAAATGCTCTGAGAGCAAGTCCAGCGGCACAATTTGTTGGGGGGAGTTCAACCTGAGTTCAAGCCCGAGTTTGTTGACATTAGTAGCAAAAAAAAATTAAAAAAAATCTAAAAAAATACAAAAAAATTCAAATTTTTTAAAAAATAAATACTTAGTCATATTTTTCACTTCCCACACCAAAATTATATACAAATTTATCTTCTCATATCTCATGTGAATAGTTGTTGCCATGACAATTGATGGAAACACCACAACCTTTTGCAAGGGCAGCCACTATTCACACGAATTGTAGTTGCCTTAGCCCCCACTTGCCATGGCAAAGGGCAAACTGCTGGAAGTGCTCTTAGTATAGATAGGCCCACAAATTATTTATAAAAAAAATTAGAAGTAAAAAAAAAATGTCCATCTTTCTCTCTCATGCCTCCTCTCTTTTTTCTAATTACCCAAGCAAAAATAAAAAAGACAACAAATTAATCAAATTCTAAAAAAAAAGGGATCAAACCCATAAAAAAACTTGGTAACTTTAAAATAGTAAGTGAAAATCACCGAAATTTTTTTAATTTTTTTAATTTTTGGTCTGAACCGAAAATTTTATTTAAAATGAACAAAAGCGATTTCTTTTAACAAAAGTTGACCCTAGTGGTGCTAAACCGGGCCTTGCGGCCCGGGCAGACGAAGGGATTCGGAGTAGCGTTCAAGTTCGAATCTGCTCCCATATAAAACCCTGGTGGCGCTCTCTCTCTCTCTCCCCCTCTCCCTCTCCCTCTCTTGCTGAAGCTTAGTTCCCTTCTTCAGTTGCTACCAGTCTCTCTTCCATTTGTCTAAAGAAATCGCTCTTTTTCTCTGTCTCTGTGAGAGAAGAAGAGAATATGAGCAGTTGGAAGAGTCTTCTTCTTCGAATTGGCGAGAAATCTCCCGACTATGGCACCTCCTCCGACCCCAAAGAACACATTGTTCGTACCACCTCTCTCTCTCTCTCTCTCTCTCTCTCTCTCTCTCTCTCTCTATGTATATGCGTTTATTAAGAGTTTCAAAACCCTACTTCCCTTCATGTTCTCAACCTTTTTCATTTCTATGTAGTTTGGTTTGTTGATTATTGTCTTGGATGTGCAGGAAACTTGCTTTGGCGTGCTTCGCCGAGAACTGGAGCACTCTCCCAACGAAGTTTCGCAAGTAATGCTAATTTTCTTTTGTTATCTTTCCATTCCTACATCCATTTGTAAATGCACACATACATTGTACAAGCTCCAGCTCCCTGCATTTAGGTTATAATAATTTCTTTTATTGATCGTAATTATGTAGAGAAATGTTGATGAAAAAGAAAAGAAATATGGAGTCTTCAAGTTTTCGTATGAGTTTGTGAAAATAAAAAATCAGAGCTAGGATATAGGTTGGGTGGAGGTTTTTAGCTTTTGCTGGTTTTGATTTTAATATAAAATCTAAACATCTCCGACGAAAAAAGTAAAAAAAAAAAAAAAATTTATTCTTTCGCAAAACAAATAGGTCAGTTGATATGGTGTTCCGTTTACCACCAGAGATGAAAGAAGGGAAGAATTTAAACTTCTCACGTCTTCCACCATTTCCACTTATGAGAATGGAATGGAAAAGAAAGAAAGAGTAGAGAGAACAGCTTGCTATTCTTTTTTCTGGAGAGAACTTCATATTTTCCATTCAAACCCAACACAATTGTCTCTTTAATATAGAAATTGGAGAAAGAATAACATACTCATAGATAGTTGTTGTTTTTGCATCATAAGTGCTTCTGCTGTTATACACATTAACTTTGTCTTTTGCTCCTGACAGTTCCTTCTCCAGTGTGCCGAACAATTACCTCACAAAACTTCTCTTTATGGGACAGTGGTACGGTGTATAATTCTAATTCTTCATTTCTGCTGGTGTTTTTCCTTTCGTCGCCATAGCATGCAAATGCATGTACATAAATATTTACATTTGCAATGGTTTTTGTTTTTCACTTAAGAATGGTTTGTTTGGCTTCCTCATTATGTATACATATGCATAAATGTTTCTTTAGTAGTAAACATGTTAAATTTAAAAGATAAACTTTTTCTTAGACAACAAGTTTGAACTTTGAATGTTATTAAATAAGCCTTGAGACTGACTTTGACTAAATTAGAAGGTTCCATTTCTGATTACATGAGGATCAACATATATAGTCACTGTAAGTATTTATCTAGGGCACCATAAGGGTTCTACGCAGTTGTCAGATCATGAACTATATTAGCACAATCACATTGTTAGCATATACTACAGAAAAAAAGCATACAGAAGAGTGCTTTGGACTTTGGTGATGCAATGTTTGGAATTACTGGTTGCTGAAGAACAACTTTACTATTAGTTCTTGAATCAGCCATCATTAATTTGGAAATGTAGGGGTTTAAAAAAATATATTTTGAAGAACTTTTTGATTAATTGCGTTGTATTCAGTGATCTTTTTGACTAAAAGTAAAGGTTAATAATAACATGTGGATGCACAAATCTAAATGAAGGGTTTTAGCTCCACCAGAGTGATCTTCGTTGCATGGTGCATGTTGCACCATACATGGTGGATTCCTATACTGTGAAAATACAACAAAAAATCGAAGAGAATACAACAAAAACTACAGTGCGCACTGGTTTAATGTAATGTCTATTAGGAGTGTCCTATTCTGTACCACATGTGTATAGTATGTTGTATTTTCTATTATTAGTTATCTCAGAGTCTACTGTATGCATGTCTATAAAACATATAACTTACAATATGCGTGTTCTTGTATTTTTGTTTCTTCTAATTTCTTGAGCTATAGTTGTTTCTTAAAATAACCATCTGTTTAGTTTAATGCCTCAGGTTCTTTATTCAGTCACTTACTCTCTCTCACTCTCTCTGCCCCCCTCCAGATTGGCTTGTTAAACTTGGAGAATGAGGAATTTGTTAGGAAAGTAGTGGAGAACACTCAAAGTAATTTTCAGGTGAGTGAGTGCATGGTTAAAATGATCTGCATATATGTTTCCTTACAATAATTTTATCTCTGGCATTTCAGAAATTTACCAAATGTTGCTTGGTTTTAATGATCGATCTTTGACCTGATATATGTCATATTACATCTATTTTCTTTAATTGACGCTGTACATCATAGAATGCATACACCTTGCATATTTTTCCTGTGCTGTTTTGTCTTCATTTTTCTTTTATTATTGCTGCTGCTGTTGTTGATGATTACAGAATGCTTGAATCTTCTGTCTGTGAAAGGACTGCCAAAAGAGTTTAATTACTTTGAGTTTGGATTTGTCTTTGACTGTGATAAAAAAAAAAGGGTCAGGCCTGCCACTGATAGATTAAATGGAAGTGCCCTCTTAGTTGATGACTGTGATCTTGAATTAACCTGAGTTTGCATTATGCATTTTCTGTAATCTAATAACATATACCTGGAAATAAGAACATGATATGTTCTGTAGGACAGTACCTCTATAACCTTCTGAAGAGACAGGAGTCCAAACCTGGTGGATGAATCATGACCCGTGTATCAGAGTGTGATTAACAATGGTATGAGTATTAGTTTGGATTATTTCTCATGGAAAGGTCAATACTGGTGATATGGTTTAGAAGAGAAGATCTTTGTTTGCCGTTCTGTCCTTTGATTTACTATGCGTAAAATTCAGGGGGAATGTGTGCATAACTTAGTTTTGCATTGCCCAGTAGTTCCAGTATTGTGTTCTGCCTCTTCTTTGCTAGAGAGGCACGAGGTTTTGGGTGCTGGGAAGAGGGGTGATGTGGACTGATGGCTGCATTTTGGGTAGTTTAGTGGGAAAAGAATTGTAAGGTATTTGACAGATCTATGGGTGAAGACTGAGGCAGTAGTAGTGTTATTGGATATAGTTTGTTTTGTGCATCTTTACGGGATTTTGTTCATACTGAATTATGGGAAATTTGGTTCTTTGCAATCTTTTCAGACTGGAAAGCTGCTTTTGTTTAGGAATTATAGCTGTGATTGTATTATTTGGTTTCATCGTTTGATACTTATATGCTCCGTCCTTAGGGGATATCTTATCCTCCAAGGTTTGTAATAATGCAATTTGAGCTGCCCATTTATGTTGGTTCCTTATTTATAAACAAAAGGAAAGAGATAAGATCGAGTGAATTGAAATAGTGGGATAAAACAAGTGAACATCTTGTCCTATTAAGTTGTACTTTGGTTTCTTATTGAAAAGAGAGATACGAATGAGTGAATTGCAATAGTGGGGTTTGAGCTGCCCATTTACTGATTAGGTTAATGAGATTATTTTATTTGTGTATGATGCTATATTTGAAAATAAAAAACTGTTAGATGGTTATTTTCATCTTCTTTTGATGTATCCTTCATTGTTTTTATTGATGAATTTTTAAAAAATGATCTCATCTTTTTTGTTCTTTGTGTTTGATTTCCAGGATGCCTTAGATTCTGGAAATTGCAACAGGATTCGTCTTTTGATGAGGTTCCTGACTGTTATGGTATGTATCATGTTGCTACTGGTCTCTGATATGAAATTCAGGAAGAGATTGAGAGCACAAGAATAAAACCACATTTTATCTCATTTGTCATAGGCCTTAGTTCTTTCTTCACTTACTCGGGAAATCTTTCAATTGATCGAAATGTGATGGTTGTCATTCATATGCTGTCAACTTAAACTTAGGGACATTTCTTTCCACGTTTGGCTCTTCATTTAGATACAGTTGTATCTTGGCAGCAGTTTCTAGAAGTTCTTTATTAAAAAAAGGTGTGAAAGAAAGCAATTTTTAAGTTTGTTATTGAGATCGTGTACAAGGTACAGAATTCTAAAGCTTCATCTCCTACTCCCTTTTGTTCAATTTTCTGTTTTCCATTGTTTTTGCTTCCGCTAAACTACCTAAATACTCCATTCACCCATATCCTACATCAATGAATAGAATAGGACATATAAATGAAGTGTTAGCTTTTATATTTACCGATGATAACATTGAACTTCTACCCAGGTTAATACTCAACAACTACTACTACTACTACCCACATTATTTTAACCAAAACACTATCATATCTTTCCCAATTATCTCCACCAATATTAAGTTTTGGTTTTCCCCTCCCCCTAGTACCACTTGATAATTTTTGCTCTTTAGAATCTCTTCCCCCTACTACCACTTTTCCTCATCCTGAATGGCTATTCTCAATTCATCCTTCTGCCAAGGTATGATGTTCTCTTGGCAGACATAGGTGGCCAAATCGTGATTTGGACTTTACATCCTGACAAAAATCAACCTGATCAATGTTTCAGATTCAGAGTCTGGCAAGCTAGGAAGCACGGATACGCTGGTTGAGGTGCGTATCCCGTGTCCGATACGCTGGGGGATATGATACGCTGTGGACACGTACGGATACGCAATGGATACGTATCCGAATCAACGGATACGGTCAACAACAAAAAGATACGCGTATCTGACATTACAGATACGAGTATCCGATGTTTAGGATACGCGTATCAGAAAACGTCTCCACTTCTTCTTCTTTCAGATCTTCCTTCTTCTTCTATCTAAATAAGAAGCCCAGATCTTTCTTCTTCTTCTTCATCCGGCGGTGCCCCCACTCATCAATTCTTCTTCTTCATCCTTAAGAAGCCCAGATCTTCCTTTTTCTTCTTCATCCAGTGGCGCCCCCACTCATTAGATTCTTCTTCTTCATTCTTCATTGTCGGCGCCGTCGGGTTCTCTTCTCTATTTTTATTTTGTTTTCTCACGCGTGCTTCTCTGTTCTGATTGCTGGTCTTATCCTTTGGACAAAAGGATTTTGTTTGTTTAATACTCACAGTTTCACCCACACCCCACGTGATCGCTGATCTTATCGTTTTAACAAAAGGATTTTGTTTTGTTTGTCTTATTAAAAGTAATGATATTATAACCAAGTGGAAGTATGTTAAAAGTAATAATATTATCATTTTTATGTTATTTAAAATATGTTTTAAATTATATATATTGTTATTTTTATGTTTTTTATATACACATGTATTCCTGCATGAGTGCCTTACTAAAGATATAATGTTTTCCTTTATGGTAACTTTCTTCTTGATCTATAGATGTGCAGTAAAGTTATCCATCCCAGTTCTCTGGTGGTTGTCTTTGAGACATTATTATCATCAGCTGCAACAACAGTTGATGAGGAGAAAGGGAATCCCTCCTGGCAATCGAGAGCTGACTTTTACATAACATGTATTTTATCATGTCTCTCTTGGGGAGGAGCAGATCTCATTGAGGTACTGTTATAATGGTGCTTGATTAACAGAAAAAAAAAAGTTGCTCATAGGTAGCATGTTGGCAATGTATTTCTCACAATACAAAGCTTATGTGCCTCCATTTAATTTTTAATTTTCGAAATATTCCTATATTTTATGTCTGCTTATGGACCTCATAAATTGTTAAGGTTTTGGTCTGTCGCTAGAAGTATGATTTATTGGGAACTTATTAGAGTAAAGATATAATTTGTTGCCTTCTTACTATAAATTTTTATTGTAAAATACTCTAATAGAAAGTAATTTAGAGCATTAAAAATTACAGTAAATATTTACGAATTCTTCTCCCTCTCTGTTTTCTTTTTTCTTTTCCTTTTGGTCTGTCTGTCTGTCTGTATCTGTCTCCCTCAGTTGGCCATAACAGAAACGATAAAAAAGTTGAGTCTTTACAAATTATGTGTCTTATTTTCATTCCAGCCACGTACTTTTAAAATGGAATAATTGACTGTGTTCTTAAGTGGTGTCTCTGTGATGTTTTTGTGCTCGATCTGAACCTGAAAAGTTGATTTTTTTTATTCTGGCACGTAAGGATGTACACTGTCACATGTTGTAGGTATGTCAGAGGGCTTTCTGTTTCTCAAGCACATCTGACACAGTGGCCCTTTAGTCATGGTCAAGCTTCATAGGTGGCAAGGCTATAGTTGTTTTACTCTTTGGTTCAACATTAGGCTTGCATTTTCTATTGTCCGTTTCATTATTAATTTAAATATATCAATCATGATTTGTTATTGTCTCTCTGCAGCAAGTCCCTGAGGAAATTGAGAGAGTTATGGTCGGTGTTGAAGCTTATTTGAGCAAAAGAAAGCGTGTTTCTGACACCGGGTTGTCTGCTTTTGAGGATGATGATGAGAACGTGAGAGAACCTAATGATAAGGTATAGCTTATTAAATTTGACATCATATTCCCTTTTCTCTGTAAACTTAAAATATCATTTGGTGATTCATTTTTGAATGTATCCCAGTATCCTGGAAAATGTTGGCCTTTTAGTTTCTTAGCTTCTAGTCTGCAGGAATGGACTGTGATTATGCACTCTGAAGTTGAAATTGTGTTAGAGATGGCCTAGTGATGCTTGTGTGGAACTTCCCTTTTAATCTATTTTGTATTCCTTTCATCAAAAGGATATTAGTAACATGTTTCCGTTTTCCCCATCCTGTTTGAACTTTATTAATCGTTGTTTTGCATTATTGATCTTCAATATTGAAGATAATTTATTTGAGTAATTTTTTGCTAATGAGTAGTTATTAACGTATTTCTTTTTAATTTTCTATATGTTAATTGAACCTTCCCTCCACATGCATCAAAATCTAGTTTTGTTATTATTTAGTTCAAATAACTTTATTATAATTAATTGGAACTCATTTTCTTTGTAGGGCCCACTTAAAGCATATTCTTGATCCTCTATCATAGGCTTTGTTTTCTAAGTTATTGAATATCATATCCTTCATTAATTTTCTTTGTTATATGACCTTTTCCCATACTTTCATAACGCGACTCATCAAATTAATTCCTCTATAATTTCCACATTTGGTCACTCTCTCTCTCTCTCTCTCTCTCTCTCACACACACACACACACACACACACACAAATAAATTGGTACTATGTTCCCTTTCCTTCACTCATTCGGCATTGTACCGTGATTTAAAATTTTATTAAAATTTTTGTTTGCCACTCAAATCTTACATTTCCAAGAGTTCTCCACGCCACCATAGCTATTTTACGTGGTCCTTGAACTTTAATTTTCCTTGTCTTTCAATACATTTAACATGCTCCACATTGCTAGTCAACCTGTCTCTTTTTCATTGTTTTACCATGTAATGTAATTTTATCCCAATCGCTCTTTTCTTAATCTTTTCTGGTAGGATTTCTTGGAAGATTTGTGGGGCCGAATACAAGTTTTATCTAGCAATGGATGGAAACTTGATAGTGGTAATGATCAAATTTCCCACAAATTTCATTTAAAGTAAAACTTCATTGTTTGATCGACATTTGTTTTTATCTTATGTTTTGTCATGATTTTTATTTCACTGTTTGATCAAATTCTATGTTATCACTTGGTAGTTCCGAGACCTCACCTTTCATTTGAAGCACAGCTAGTTGATGGAAAGTCTCATGAGTTTGGACCCATCAGCTGTCCTGACCAACCTGATCCGCCTTCAACAATTTCTAGTATAACGTGTGGTAAACAAAAGCATGATGCAGAGTTAATATATCCTCAAAGGATACGAAGGCTGAATATATTTCCTGCAAGTAAAACTGAGGTACTTTGCAATCTAAGAACTTAATTCTCTTCTGTGTAAACCAGTATTTTCAAATGCATGCAAGTAAAAGAAATTTCTTCTTGCAACAGCTCTTGGATGATTTATAGTGTAATGCTCCTGTTCAAACTATTGAGTGTTTCTAAAACTATTTTGTAATCCATTTACATGATGCATACTTGAAGAAATTTGTTCCTAGTGTTTATTACCATTGTTAGATCTGTTTAGTATGTAGTCTAATTATCTGAGGAAGTTTTTAAATAGTGTCACGGTTTAGATAAGGGCGATAAATTAAGATGTATGACAACAGAGCTGAGAATTTGGTGGCATCTGGTACTGGTACAGTTGAGTTCCTGACTTTAATATAAGTTTTAAATGGAAATACTATCTGACATAATTGTCATTTCTACGTTATTATTTATTTGACCGACTTGGAGTTACTAACTTATATGATATCCACTGCATTCTTGTGTTTCTGCTTCTTTAAGTGCACTCTTGAAATTAATTGTGACTTACTTTCTCATTATAATTTTGCGTAGAATTTTAATTTGGTGATTGACTGTCACCGAAATCTTAAGAATGTACATAAATATTTACATTTGCAATGGGGTTTTTTTTTTTTCACTTAAGAATGGTTTGTTTGGCTTCATTGTTATGTAGATGGAGCAGGAAGAGGATGACTTTGATGATGAGCAGGAAGAGGAAGAAGAATCAGAAGATGAAGAGGAAGAAGAAGAAGAAGATGGAGAAGAGGAAGAGGAAAATGGTGACGGTCAAGATGATAATAAAGATGCTGAGATGGAAGAACTTGAGAAAGAATACGTGAGTCTTCGTCATCAGGAGCAGTAAGTTTGTTATGCTTTTTGTTTTTGTTTTTACGTTTTAAGTTTGTTATGCTTAATTAGAATTAAGACATATACTCTATTGGTATGTGTGAGTATATGCTACTGTTGATTACATTGACGTTCTGCATCAAAGTTTCAAACTATTTTAACGCTATAATATTGCATAAAATTGCATTTTCATTGAGCACCTAAATAATATGAAAGTTGGGGGGACACGATGAGGAAATTTAGTATTAGGTTGAAGTAGTCATTAAATAAATTACATAATTCGTGCCCATATCTACGGAAATTGAATACTAGGCTAAGTTTTAGTAACTTTTCAATTTAGTTATTGTAAAAGGACAAACCAACAGGAACATGCATACATAAGCAAATCCTAGTAAAAAATGTATTTAGGCCTGTATCCGGGTTATATTTAGTTGTATGTGTATGCAAGTTGTCGATTCTTGATAAACAACAGAAGAATACATACCGAGACATATTTTGAAGTTAATTTTTGAACTAAATTATATATATATATATATATATATATATTAATCTCAGCTGAAATATGAAGTTAATTTTGTTCTTCATTTTTTCTTTCTTTCTTTCATTCTTTCCTTCCATGCAGAGATATTTTAAAGAATCTAAAGCATCATAAGGATGAAGATCTTCTTAAAGGTCAAGCAGTGAAGAACCAAAAGGTGTGTTCTTTGCAAACAATGGCTCTTTTAATATCCACAAAATATGTTTTATTTGTCAATGTGAAATTATTGTTCCTCATTTAATACTTCTTTTTATGTGTCACCTTAAAGTTGACAAAAGGATTTATATAGCGAATTATAATCTGATTGTTCTTCATTCTTACCCTTGTTTCTATGTTTTTTTTTTTTTTTTTTTACTTTGTCGGAAGGCTCTTTGGGACAAGACTCTTGAGTTCCGATTCTTGCTTCAGAAAGCATTCTCAAGTTCAAATAGATTACCACAGGTCTGTTTCAGCAGTTTTCCTTTCCCGTTTTCCTAGCTTTTTGTCATGTTAAAATATTATGTTCATACTTGAGAGGTTATCTGCAGGAGCCAGTTAGGTCTTTATTTTGTGATTCACATGAGGGTGTCAATGCAGCATATTCGGATCTAGTTAACTCATCAAAGAGAACTTTGGATTCTCTAGTGGAACTAGAAGAGGTATGACTGTTATACAAATTTATAATGTCTACCTGGTATTACTTGGTGGTTACCTTCATAGCTTGTAGTAATATGTTTAGTAATTTATACATTATTATGGTTTGCTAATATTGGCATCTGTGTATACTAACATTTATCACATCATGTTACTTTTCTTGTTACAGGCTTTACTTGAAAAGAACCCATCCATTGTTCAAGCAACAGATAGTATGTATAAACTACATTCATCTTACTTTTGTATTTATTTTGTAATGCAAATTGGCCCTCTACATCAGTGTGGATAAACTACCATTTTCTGTTAACAATTGCCAATATGTGAAAGGTTTTGCTATGCTTAGTGTATTCTGTTTTCTGCGTTTGAAGTTTTTAATAGCCATTTTGTTCCTCGTAAAGAGTGTTTAACTTATAAACAAACAATTAGCTAAGATAGAGTTAGATCTGATCAAATCGAACTTTAAGGAAATGCTTCAAGTTTCCTCCCTTTTATATGATTGTGGTGTTCCACAAATTTGAGAACTTCCCCTGCAATAGTTATTCACTACAATTCAGAGTATAATTAGTCATATTATGTTGGTACTAAGTTAGTTACTACTAAGGATGTCAGGGTGTCAATTGAGAGGAATGCTATAGCCCACAATACAATTGGTAGTTTAACGGATAGCTATAGGTCACGATCAAAGTATACTACCAGTCGTCTAAGTACAGGTGGAATAGCTCATTGTGGAGAAATCTAATACAATTGTTCTGCTGGGAGTGCTTATTCAACTTAATTGATTGCAGGGGGGAAAAGACAGAGAAATGATAGGGAACCGTAGCCAAGTGGTTGGAGTGGGCTCAGCCATTTCCCAAGCTCAGTCCAAAATGCAGAGCATTGAGCTTGAGCTCGAACCAGCTCAATTTTCAAATCTAAATCTTTGCCCTTCAGCTTTGGGTCAGCTGAACTGGAGTGATGTTTGCGCTGAGTTCTGATCGAGTTCGAGTCAGCCCAGTAGCTGATGGTTTTAGAGCCTATTAGGTGTGAAATTTAGTGTGGTCCTGTTGGTATGAAAAAATAGTTGTCTTTAACAAATTTTAGACACTTTGTGATTTGATTACAGCCTTCAAGGTAACTTCACTTTAGTCACCACTCCAGGGGCAGGTATTTGTTACAATGGTCAAAATTATAGGCATAGAAACCAAATCAGATTGGGCCATGTTTTGGTTGATATGAGGGTAGACCAAGATCAGCCTGAATTTCAAATCTGGCCTAAAAAGTCAGCCCAAAATCCTTCCAGCTTTATCATATAAAGCTTAGTCCGATTAAGCCAAACAAATCTGACTTTTGGGCTACCTTAGTCTAATTGACTGTCCTAGTTTGTGCTATTTTCACTTTCATCAACTTCATACTGCCGTGTACATTTATTGCTTGTCCTAATATGTTTCCTGTTCTTAAGGTGAATCTGCTCGGTCAAAGCATTCAGAATCATCTAATAACGTTGATGCTGATGGTGATGAGGATTGGTCATGGATTTCTCAGTTGCTTTCAAGGTACTCGGATAATATTCTAGATAATTTGAGAAGAAGGATCATACTCTGCATATGCTCTTGTTTTATTGAACTCGATCTGAACTTGTGTAAAACTGAATATATTAAATTTTGAGTTCATGCAATACCTTGCTGATCCATTTAGAGCAGCAAAAAGAAACTTGAAATTCTTATCCTTGTTTTCTTTTGGAATTTCTATTAAATGGTAGATTCAAGTATCTTAGTATTTTTCTCTCTAACTCAATACTATAGTGTATATAATTTTTATATTTTTTTATTAGGTAGTTGACAATTAATACCTCATTATATAATGTTATGAAGCTTTTCTTAACTGTTACAGATGAGATGTACCAAACAATAGTATTTAAAGTCGGTTGATATTTTGAATTCAACTTATGGAAGTGAAGTATATTAGTATGTTTGCTAAAGGGGCCGGCAAAAGACCAAGAAATGCATTTATCTTCCTTAAAAATTCTACGGTGACATGTATACACTGAGATGTAATTATACTCGTGGGAAATTCTACTGTCAAAAATCTTATACTAGCAGTCATGCTGCGACAACTTCCTTTGCATGATTTATGGCATTTTGTTCCACTATGTTGTTCAACATTTCATTATTTTGTGCATTAAAAGATTTTAATGCAATTCATTCTATAAGGGTAACTTTGTCTAACTAAGACCTTTCATGTTGTATCTTGTAGCATAGCTACTTTTAGAAACAAATCAATAGACAAATGGCAGAGGAAGACACAGGTGACCACAGGTGCTGCTGCTATTAAAAGCCAGCTGCATGCTTTTAATCAGGTTTGGCCCTATGATCGAACTTTGTAATCGACCCATGAGTGGACTTATAGCCATGCTTAGCCAGATATTCAACAGGAATGAATTTTCCTTTCCAATTGCAGAATATCAGTGAACAAGTTGCTTCTTATATGAGAGATCCAAGCAGAATGGTTAAGCAGATGCAGATGAGGCGATCGGCAGTTGGTGTATTTGGCATTGTAAGATACTAAATCTTCCCTCTAAATTGAGTTCCCAAGGTTGCATGGGCATGCTCAGACAGAATTGTGCTTCATTTATAACATCATAACAAGATAGGTTTTTCTTAATTTTGTACATCTAGTAATTAATACCTGACATATGGATGGGCAGGTTCCTGAGGGGGAGAATACTCCAAAGGGAGAGGTAATCCTACTCTTCTGAATATAATTGGCTTCACTAATGCTTGCTAATTTGAGGACCAATCTGTAGATTACATCACAATTTAATGCCCCATGGATTTTAAAGTTTTCCCATGTTGCAAATGAACATCTATTGTGTTGGATGGGTGCCAGTTTATAAAATGCTTGAACAATTTTTGGGTTGTTTGGGGTGTTTTCTTCAATTTTCTTCACATGGCACCAGTGCTACTTCATGAGTTTGTTCCTTTGACTGCTATATACGAATGAACCATGCCATCTGTGTGTGTGAGGGCTGTTAGTTTTTTTAATACTCATCATGCGTCATTAGCCTTAATTGTATCTTTTAATTAATATTTTGCTTTGTTTGCCACTTTGATGTGCTTGTGAGGTTTGCATCAATTTCCTCCTTGATATGTCATGAAAGTGCACAAATTGATTAATTTTATTCCTTTACTCTGTTAGGAGACACAATGTGATGTTGGTGCACAAGCTGATGGCGACCCAGAACTTTTAGACGACTCCGAGTTTTACCAGCAATTACTGAAAGAATTTTTTGAGACAATTGACCCAACATCTTCTGGTAAAACTATTGGGGCATCCCATACTTCATACATGAATCTTTTAAATGTGCGCTTATATGGTTATACTCAATCTTTAAGAGTTCCTGTAGTTCAAAACAACAAATGCAATCAAATTGCATTGAAAAATTCTTGCATTTTCAATTGTTTATTATTGTATCTCCCCAAGTGGTCAAAGTCAATAATTTCACTGCATTTTCTCCATTATGGTGGGTTTGGAGCTTAGTCGATCCTCAACTCTATTATTCAAGTCGCTAGAACGTTCAAAATAGAGCGGTCTGACATAGTTGCTTCCTGTTATTGCCAGCATATTATTTAATGATTCTGATTTTCCACTATTTGGTTTTCCACAGAGACGGCCTTTTATTCTCTGAAAAAGTTGCATACTAAGAAGAGGAAGATTGTGGACAGACGAGCCTCTAAGAGTCGCAAGATAAGGTATCAGCAGTATAGGTTAATTCTTTGCTTCCCTATGTAGACCTGCTATGATTTGTTTTGGAAATTAATAAATATGCTTTTGCAGGTATAATGTTCACGAGAAGATAGTAAATTTCCTGGCTCCGGAGCGTATGACCCTTCCCACTATGGTTCCAGACCTCAATAATTTGTTTGGGTTGAAGAACCAGAAACGAGCTTCTGTAGTATAGCGTATAGGTCTTTGGATCCAAGCTCTGAAATTTTGTTTGTTATTTAAATGATTCCCTGGAGCGTTCTCATCCATGGCTAGATTAACAAATCTGCAAATAAATTCGCACAATATTGCAATTAAACCTGCAAACTAAACCCAGAACCACCACCTCCAAACCCACGAACCCAAAATCCTATTTTTATTTTTATTTTTATTTTTATAATTTAGTTTATTTTGGAAATAGTTGGAGTAAAATCATCAAATGCGTCAATAAACAAGTATGGTCCATGGATCAACAGGACACAAACTGGATCCTCAACTCCTTTGCGTGATAGCAATGTTCCATACGTACTGAAACAACAACTTGATCGCCAACTTCTAAGTGCTCATCCTTAAACATCCAGTGGCTTAACCATATCATGTGTCTTCTCCTTCACCTGGGGGTTGTGGTACCACTTCAGACCCTTGCTCTTATTTCTGACTCTAGTAATATTATCGAAAAGAAAACCAGAGCCAGAACTCGCATAGACAGCACAGACGATCAAGCCTTTAATTTTGTGATCATTTGAGAGAGAGAGAGAGAGAGAGAGAGAGAGGCGCACCTGGACGAGACTCCAATCACCCTTTACTGAAATAAAAGCTGGTTTGTGCATCCGAATGGGTGCCATGGATTCCAACAAGTTGCACAATCCCAAGAGGTTGATCATTTCTTCATCAACACTACCAATGGTTTGTAACTTGTACATGTACTGCCACTCAACTAGGTTGTAGTTGCGATCAAGTGCGTATGATGACACTGACGAAAACGATTTATATGTTATTTTCTCCAATTATATGCAATCTCTGATATCCAAGTGGGATAGTTTTGGTAACCCTAGAAGCGATTTGAGAATCGTACACTCATTTAAAAAGAGTGCACAGCCTTGTTAATCCTTTGATACAATTTGGTAGGCTACCAATTGGATTATTCCCTGGATTTAGTCTCTACAATGAGGAAAAATGACTAAAATCCATAGGAAATGCATCATCCTAAAGATTGCACCCCCAAAGACTTAATTCCACCAAAGAGCATGGTAAAGAACCCAAGATACTCGAACTTCTAACCATAATTCACTTATCGGAATTCCATCTGTCTCAACCACTTTTAACGAGCCCATGTTCCTCAACATCTCAATTGAAAACTCATTAAGATTTGAGCAACCAGATATAATAAATGTTTCAAGTGATTTTAGCATACAAATGTTCTTGGGAAGCATCCTGATCTTTTTGCAATCTTTCATATTCAAGTAAATAAGTCTCTCTAGGTTTCCAATGGATCCATGGACATAAATCAGGCTTGTGCAGTCTACTAGAACCAACTTCTCTAGATTTGGGCAATATGAGAAGTCAATGGTTTTTGTAAGGGAATGAGAAGTTTGACATAAATCAGTCAATGGTCCTTGAACAAAATAAATGTGAAACTTCATAGAAAGCAAAAGAAGCGAAGGCATGTTACATTGTCCTTGTTCTTTAAAATATTACAACAATTAAAGGGATAACCAATCTCTAATTACCTTTTGCCTTTTACCTTTCACATATATGCTTGCTATTTTCTTCTTGGTATTTTTCAACAACTTTGATACACCAAACTTATGATATCCCATCATCTTTAAGGTCATAAAAACTGATGACACGCTCTTTAACGTGCATTGTCAACATGGCACTTCATGATTGGAGTTATGTACATGTATTTGAGTACTTGGCACACACTCAAGGACATGACATGGTATGTTTCAATTCAAATATTAAATCATCACTACTTTTACTTTTAACATAACTAGTAAAATAAAGGACTGGTTTAAAATACCTTCGTGAAAAACAAAAAATAAAAAGGAAACAACGAAAAACTCACCTATACTATTTGATGTTGTTTACTTTTATTTGTAATATATTTTCACAATACGTGTATCTATATATATAAAGCAAAAGTCTTTAATAATATGCGAAAAGTTCTTGTATTAAAAGTAATAAATATATACGTACGTAATCGAGAAATGTACGGAAATAATGATATTAAGTTCTTATGTACACAAGTGCAGGTCTAAAAATTTCAGCATGTTTTCTCGGCAAGCAAATATGGTTGCAGATGCTCTGACTATCAATCTCCAATACAACGATTTAGTTCTCTAATCTTCCCTTCTCTGTTTCTAAAAAAGTCAATTTTAATATTCGGAATGTAGGGATCTGAGAATTGAACAACCTAAAACTTTAAGTACAAAGATAAACGCTCAACCACTTGAATTACAATCCCCTTACGAAATATTTTCAACAATGTTAAAATCAAAATAAATTGGAAGTGTCTAGGAGTCATCCAGATGTGCCACCCCGGGAGTCCCCAAGTAGGGATAAACTTATCATGAACTTTTGGTCTGTTGCCTAACCTCCTTGTCTCTTTGTCTTAATATAAAGGAGGGTAATACCAAGTGTATGGTCATGGCCATTTGGGAAAAAAACAAAATGGGGTTTTGGAAGCACATTGGGAGCTTTCTTGCAATTCCCACACTTACCCCACTAGGAAACAAAACTTGGGGCCTTGTTTGTCTTTGTTAGGGCATGTTTGGATCCATGCAACCTTTGGGAATATTAACAAGTCTTTGGGCCAGCTTTGATTCCTTATCCACCTTAGGTAAAGACAAAAAACAAATAAAGTGGGGGAGGTTTGGGAGAGAGAAAGTGAGGGTGAGAGAGAAAATAAGACAGGTTTTAGAGAGAGAAATGAAAATGAAATGATAAAAGAAATTAAAAAAAACTGCTACAGAAGGCTCATCCTCTCACAAATTCCATGTTCTACTTTGGACTGCAGGACAACAAAACAATAACGACAAAAGGACTCTCCCACGCATTGTCGACAACGTTGCCATGAAGTCCTGTCCTCCAAAGCTCACAGCTTTTAATTAAGATCAATTGAGCTAATAAAAACAGAGGAAACCCAGAAGAAGCCCGCATCAGCTCTGTGCATAACGAGGGATTGAAGAGGATCTCCTTTGAATTCTCATGGGATTCTTCATGGGTTTTTGATCAATTACAAAACCCAGTAAGGATTTGGCTCATCTTCCTTCGCTTGGTTAGTTCTGGTACTAGTTTGTTCAGCTGCTTTTGTTGGTTTTCTCTATTCTCTTCGTAACTGCTTAGCCCTTAGGTGACATCTTTTGTGAATTTTATCTCACTTGATCAAAGATTTCTTAGCCAGGTTAGCTTGTCTAGCTTTTGGTTCAGAATAAATTGCTGATAATTTTCTTTGATAACGGATTCCCTCTTACTGATAAATTCGAAACCCCCTTTCCGATAGTTTGGTCTGTTCTTTGCATATTTATTGTGAATTTGTGATACATTCTTTAAATTCTTAGCCTTTTAGGTGCTTTTATAGAAAAGTGCTCTGGTTCTAAATTACTTTTATTACCTATTGTGAATGCCTCGTTGAGAGTAAGCATTTTTCTGAAATTATGTATTCATGCAAATTTGTTTCCTGCATGAGCAGTAGAATATTTCCTTAGAACTCTTGGACTTATCTTATCACTTACCAGTTCCATTGTGAAGTGATATTGATCTTTCTCTTTCTGTTGACACTCATCTAATTTTGTTCCCCAATTACCAAATCCTTCTTGTTTGTTATATGACACCAATGTTTCAAGACGAAGGGTCATCATCTGCAACTTCATCTCCTCTCCAATTCTTTTCCATGATGTCGCTTTCACCTAGTTTAGGATCACCATACCCATGGCTTAAAGAGCTAAAATCCGAGGAGCGGGGTTTGTATTTGATCCACTTGTTGCTCACTTGTGCAAATCATGTTGCCACGGGAAGCCTTGAAAATGCAAATGTTGCCCTTGAGCAAATTTCCCAACTCGCCTCTGCTGATGGTGATACCATGCAGCGGATTGCTGCATACTTCACTGAGGCTCTTGCTGATCGAATCCTCAAAGCTTGGCCTGGTCTTCACAGGGCCCTTAATTCCACTAAAATATCTTTGGTTTCTGAAGAATTTCTAGTTCGGAAAGTGTTTTTTGAGATGTTGCCATTCCTAAAGGTGGCTTTTGTGCTTGCAAACCAAGCTATTACTGAAGCCATGGAAGGGGAAAAGATGGTCCATGTAATTGATCTCAATGCAGCTGAACCTGCACAATGGATTGCTCTTCTTCAAGTTTTAAGTGCAAGGCCTGAAGGTCCACCTCATTTGAGAATTACTGGTGTTCATCAACAGAAAGAGGTGCTAGATCAAATGGCTCATAGGTTGACCGAGGAAGCAGAAAAACTGGATATCCCTTTTCAGTTCTGTCCCATAGTCAGCAAATTGGAAAATCTTGATATGGAAAAACTTCGCATCAAAACTGGTGAGGCTCTAGCTATCAGCTCAGTTCTTCAGTTGCACTCCCTTTTGGCGTCTGATGATGAACTCTTGAAAAAGAAATCCCCGTTAGCATCAAAGAGTTCAAGTGGAATTCCCATGCCAAGAGTATTGCAAATGAACCAAGGCACCCTGGGTGAGTTGCTAGAGAAAGAGATGGGCAACGGGTATAGTGCGAGTCCTGACTCAACCTCATCATCGCCACTATCTTTGACTGCTTCGGTGAAGTTGGATAGCTTTCTTAATGCATTTTGGAGCTTGACACCAAAGGTGATGGTAATAACCGAACAAGATTCTAACCATAATGGCTCCACTCTAATGGAGAGGCTATTGGAAGCTCTGTACTCATATGCTGCATTGTTTGATTGCTTGGAGTCTACAATGGCGAGAAATTCAATAGAGAGACTGAAGGTGGAGAAGATGCTCTTTGGGGAGGAAATAAAAAACATTATAGCTTGTGAGGGATGTGAGAGGAAGGAAAGACATGAAAAGCTTGAGAAGTGGATTCAAAGGCTTGATTTAGCTGGGTTTGGAAATGTACCTTTGAGCTATTATGGAATGCTGCAGGCAAAGAGGTTGTTGCAGGGCTATGGTTGCGATGGTTATAGAATGAGGGAAGAGAATGGTTGTGTGTTGATTTCCTGGCAAGATCGACCCCTATTTTCTGTCGCAGCTTGGAGGTGCAGGAAGTAGAATATGGAACATTGTCATGGATCTCATGGTGTTTGAGTTTCTCGTCTAATTACGAAGAATTTTGTTCATCTGCAAGTGAATACTGCTAGGAGTGATACAAAGGCCCTCGTCTTACCCAAAAGAAAGGAAAAGAATGCTGGCCCTCTTGTTTATGTGTTTACATTTCATTTGTTTAATCTTCTTTTTTTCATTTTAATTCTAATTGAACTAATACTGACCTTTGGTCTTTGTGTCTATATGCCTAAGTTGCTAATGGAGTTTGTTGTGTTATGATATACTTTTTTCTCTCTTCTGTCTAATAGAAGTACTTCAGTTATTTGAGAAGTATTTGTATAACCTCATGTTTAGCTTATCTCTGTGTGTGTCCAAGTGGTGCCTGCAATTTCAAGTAGCATGGTCTTAGACTGAATGCCTTTTAACATTTTATCGATCCAGTTATTCTGGTTTCGGCTATATCATGTAGCATTGTTAATGTAATTGTTCTCCAGGGGAGCCTCATAAGCAATTGGTGTGTGTCCATTTGGTCCCTGCAACTTCATCAAAGCAACTTTCTGGTGTGGATTTTTAAGTCATACGCACGATGAGAGTGAAATTTTTTTTGTTTCTCCTTTTCAAACAACACAACCAACTCTCGACGACGATGAGATTTGAATTCAAAGTTTCATTCAATTAAGTGAAGACTAAATGTCACTAGGCCAAATGGTTGTTGTGGGGGAGAGAGAGAGCACAGGAGGTGATTAAAAAGGATTGTTGGATTTAGTGCCTTATCTTTTGCTTGGTTAAAATTTAGAGTGGTGATTTCCCCACTCCAATTTTGTCCACTTACACTCCATTTTATAACTGAAAAAGGAGTGTAAGTGGTCAAAATGGGAGTGCGGAAATCATTACCCTAAAATTTATTGCCTCATACGGAAATTTGAAGAAAAATTTTCTACTTCAAAATATTTGGCCTCTTGCAAGCGTGGACCAATCGAAAAGAGCCTGTTGTGATTGAGAATATTTACATTACCAAATTTTACATCAACATATATGCAGTAATAACGGCATCAATGTACCAAGATAGGAAATAAACATTGTAAAAACCTTTTAAGAATAAACCCCATATTGATTTTGCAACAAGTGCACTTGTAAAAACGAAAAAAAAAAACTTTTTAAGTCGCACGAAGCGCATGTGATAAAAAAATTTTAAAAAAAAAATCTGCCACGCATGAGAAGCGCGTGTGAAGACGCTAGTTATTATAATTTAATCTGGTTATATTCATCCATATTTTGTAACTGTCGGAACAAGTGACTTTTTCTTTGGTTTTCTACGCTGCCTTTGCAGGAGGAATTTGGTAAGAGGCTTCGAGTATTACCCTAAAGGCATTTTGCATGGACGCCTTCAATTTGTGAGAATCTATGAAGCCTTTTTCAGCTCCGAATGCAACCCTCAGCTTTCCCATATAACTAAGTGCCGTTATAGTAAGACACTGCATGGATAAAACACCATCAAATAAAACATCATGAGTGTAAATTAATAAAATTGAAATTATATCTAGGGGGTGTTTGAACCGGCCTAGCTCAAAATTGCAATATTAAACATAATCTATCAAAAGAAGAAGAAGAAAAAAAAAGAGAGGCTTGTGAATTGTAAAGGGGTCAGCATTTGAACCGGCCTAGGTTTAAAAACCAAACCAGTTGGATCAGTTCTAGTCCCGGTTCTTGTCTTCAAAAAATCGGTATAAATCGAACTAGACTGGTTATGTCAAGTTTACCTATTCATTTATATCCAAAATTATTAGTAAGCCTAATCAATATTTAAATAACATTACTAACTCCAAGTAATATCTATATATTTTAGTTCTAATTTATACCAATATAATTAACTACTCTAGCTGAATTTCTTTTTCTTTTCAGTGAATCATATCCGTTTTTGTTGCACTTCCGTCTTTCTCCCTTTTCCACATATTTCTTTTTATTTCTCTTTCTATTTCTCTTCCTTTTTATCTCTTCACATTTTTCTCTCTTAATTTATCCGTTGTACATATTTTTCTCTTCTTTCTATTTTTCTATACATCCTATTTCTCTCTTCTTCACATCTTTATATTTTTATCTTTTCAAACTGAAAATTGGGCCGAATTGAATCGAAACCACATAACGGTTTAATTAGGTTCTTCTAGACACTTTCTATAAAAAAAAACTGAACCAAATCAGATCATGTGTAAGTTCTGATTTTAGTTTCAATTCGAGCGGAAAATCGGACTATGCCTACCCCTAATGTCTTGTCATATCATTCTAATTTTATTTGGTGGTGGATGCTCATATCTAAGGTATTAAATATAATTGTTTTTCACGAATTAATTATAAGAACTAAAGTAACTGCATAATTATATTTCAAAAAATAAAAAGTAACTGCATAATTAAGTACCTGAGGTGGACCGACCACCATATAGTAGAAGCCACAAACGGGCTGATTGGCCAAAGCCATTTTTTCAACTGGCCCAATCATATTTGAGATTGTCATGCTCGAGTTCTTGAGTGTGCCATGGATGTATCTAGCTGCTTCCTGCAAACACAACACCTTATAAAACACTCTAAAGTTTCTTTTCTTTTCTTTTTATTTTTCGAAAGGAATATTCTGAAGTTCTAAGAGAGACTAATAGATTTTTGGTATATTAACGGGCCGCGGAGATTCAAATTTAGGATCTCTTTCACGTTAAAACGATAGTTTATTAAAAGTTAGTTTGTTAATAAGTACATTTAAAGTGTTTTGAATGGATTACGCAAACTTGACTTATGAGGTCTTCATGCCCAAATTATATTTCCTACAAAACATTCTATATCGTACTTACATTTTAGTATGAAATGAGATTTTAGCAACGTAACATATTAGATATCTAACGCTAATACTCATAAAAAAAGGAAATTGAGAAGATGGTAATTAGGACATGGAAAAGAGCATATATAATAAAGAGTACTGATTTTCCAACTTCTTTTTTTATTCACTTACACTCTATTTTTCTAAACAAAAAGGAATGTAGGTGGATAAAAGGGATTACGTACCTCAGGGCCTCTAAATTTCTTCAAAACGTCCAACAGCCAGCTAGTGAGGTAGCCAGCGGCAGAACTTCTCTTTTTCTTGATTATTTTTTGTGCTTCCCAAACAAAGTCGAGTGGGTTTGAGATTTCAGTCGACTTGGGCACTGACACGTGCAAGAAGCCAAATTGGTTTCCCCATGACATCTCATCACTATTGGGTTCGATCATCTCCTTGATTGGCATGTAACCCTCGATGTTTCTGGTGTTGAGCAGCACCAACGCCGTACAACGTTCATTGCTTGATTTTTGGGTAACCTCTTGCATGTATATTCTGGTGCCCAAGAAGATGATTCCGGCAATCACATCATTTGTCGTCTGCAATTGTTCATGCCAATTTCATTCAAATAATATAATCACTATTAAAAAGAAACTAAGAAAAGAAAGGGTTTGTACAGGAGTTATAATCCTAATCAAATGTTTGATGTTCTAAAAACACTACATGGATCGGAATTTTGAATTTATGCCAGGACACAACTGGAAAGCTCAATTGTGTGTGGAAATAAATGTTTTGAACGCAAATATGACAATCCAATTTTGATCAGAATAGCAAATTTCACTAGAAAAAGTTCTTACAGGGGACAACCAACACGTCTACAAAACAACCAAAGCACAAAAGGGGAACAAAGTCCATCCGCCAAAAGATGCAAAATTAAGTAGATGAAAACTGGACAAACAGGCAGAGTCCACATCACTAAAATTAAGCTCACAAAATTACCCAAAATAACGAAAACCCTAATATAACACATAAGCCTAATGAGCTATAGATCATGTAACGTATGAAAATCCTAATATACTACTGTACTGCGTATTTGTGTATTTCCCGGTAGCTGCCTGTTACATTGACAAATCAATGTCAACATTAACTATTAGTACAGTACGTAGTTTTTGCCAAAGTTAGAAAGTGGAAAGGAGGAAACTCACACACACAGTACGATGGGGACTTGAAACTCACCAAAGGCTTGGGCACTTGTGAAAGTTTATTATCTGAGGTACTCTCCAAAATTTAATGAATGCACCAACATTTTTTTGCAGTGCCAACTCTCCAAAATTTAATGAATGCACCAACTTTTCTTAGTTTATACTGCAGCAATTTAATTGTCTGTCTTTAACATTTTATGTGTACTCCTATATTTTTTTGGGGACTTTTAACATTACTATCACTGGAACAACATTAGAGTGCCCATCCTTGACCATCTAATGCTTTGCCGCTAATTAATTAGGTTGGAAACATCTTTTCCCGATCAATTTTTTTTTTTGTCGTAGATATATGTTAATGTTCAATAAAAACAGAAATCATTAAAAGAAAAAAAAAATGGTACATAATCTTACCACTCCAAGTTTGTTCTTGATCAGTTTGATTTCATCAATGGAGAACGTCAAGGTTGATAGTTTTATTGGTCGAAACTCAACTCCATCTTCCCCAGACCTAATCGGAGTTCGATCATCTTCGACGAAATTGCTCTTCAAAATGCTCCAACTGAAATCCGATACAGTTTGGAAAACTGAAGAGAAAAACTGTGACACAGTTTTAGTCTTGTGAGTGGTTTGTGGTCCTGAGCTCTTCAGGGAAGGAAATGTTAGAGGAACAGAAGGGTTTTGAGCACTTTGCAGACAAGAAAGAAGAGCACCCATTAGAGAGTAGCCATCACCTAGGGCATGGTGAAGCTTGAAAATCAGGGTACCAGCTGCGTGGCTTGTTGGGTACTTGAGAATGTGAATTTCCCATAACGGCCTGTTTTGTGGGAATTTTTCTGCTGCTATATTTGATATGTAGTCATCAAAATACTCATCATAGGATTCTGGTGACATTTTAGAAGGAAAAATGGGGACATGAACATGGTCTTCAAGCTTCACTTCAACCCTCTTCCATTGTCTCTTTTGATCTACGTTGTCACTTACCTGTTTAATAATTTCAGATAATTCATATCAAATCTTTAGTCTTTCTTCTTTTTCTTTTTTCCGCAATAAGCCGGTGGTTTTCACACTCCCATTTTATCCGATTGCAGTATTTGAGTAAATCAAATGCTAATGAGTAAAAAGAAGAGGAGACTAGTGAAAATTGAACAAAATAGGAGTGCGAAAATCGCTTCCGTTTCCAATAAAATGACAAGAGAGAGGAAGAGATCGAGAGAGAGAGAGAAGACAAACCATGATAGAAGAGAAGCGAGGGTTGATGGGGAGGAAGACATCTTGAAGCAAAGAGAGAGCTT